AACCAGCTACCTTTTGGTCCTCAGACCTGTGCTCAATCCACTGAACCACCCCAGCCAGGACATGATCTTTTTCTTAAATAAGTCACTTTAACATTTCCTGTAATATTGGCTTTGTGACGATGAACTCCTTTAGCTTTATCTTGTCTGGGAAGCACTTTTTCCTGCACTTCAATTCTAAATGATAGCTTTGCTGGATAGAGCAACCTTGGATGTAGGTCCTTGCCTTTCATGACTTGGAATACTTCTTTCCAGCCCCTTGTTGCCTGTAAGGTTTCTTTTGAGAAATCAGCTGCTAGCCTGGTGGGAACTCCTTTGTAGGTCACTGTCTCCTTTTCTCTTGCTCCTTTTAAGATTCTCTCCTTATCTTTAATCTTGACTAATGTAATTATGATGTGCCTTGGTGTGTTCCTCCTTGGGTCCAACTTCTTTGGGACTCTGAGATTCCTGGACTTCCTGGAAGTCTATTTCCTTTGCCAGATTGGGGAAGTTCTCCTTCATTATGTTTTCAAATAAGTTTTCAATTTGTTGCTCTTCCTCTTCTCCTTCTGGCACCCCTATGATTTGGATGTTGAAACGTTTAAAGTTGTCCCAGAGATTCCTAAGACTCTCCTCATTTTTTTTGAATGCTTGTTTCTTCATTCTGTTCTGGTTGAATGTTTATTTCTTCCTTCTGCTCCAAACCATTGATTTGAGTCCCAGTTTCCTTCCCATCACTGTTGGTTCCTTGTACATTTTCCTTTACTTCACTTTGCATAGCCTTCACTTTTTCCTCTGTTTCGTGACCATACTCAACCATTTCTGTGAGCACCCTGATTCCCAGTGTTTTGAACTCTGCATCTGATAGGTTGGCTATCTCCTCATCATTTAGTTGTATTTTTTCTGGAGCTTTGATCTGTTCTTCATTTGGGTCATTTTTTTTATCTTGGCTCACCTGTTATGTAGTAAGGGGCAGAGCCTTAGGTGTTCACCAGGGCGTGGCAATCTACATCACTGTCTTTCGGTACTGTATGGGGGAGGGGTCTGAGAGGGAACAAGGCCATTTGCTCATCTCTCAGTGGGCTTTTAGTCACTTTCTCTGCTACCCACAAGAAATTGGGCCCTTCTGGTGCTGATCCCTGAGTGGGTGGATTTGTGTATGTTCTAGGAACCTGTGGGTCTCTCCAAAGAACTCTCCTGTGAGGTTGAGCGTTTCTCCCACTGCCACAACCCCCACAGGTTTTTTCAGTCAGAGGTTTTCAGGTTTTATTTTCCCACACTGGAACTACAGGGTTCCAGTGCAGGACTGGAACCCCATAGTCTGTCTCACTCCCAGGTTGTTCCTCCCGGCTTATCCACACACAAATGTGGGACCAGCCTCTCCACTAGCCATCACCTCACCCGCTCCACCAGCTACCACCTTGCCACACATCCTTTCCACTCTGGCTGCCTGTCTCCACCCCTCCCACTGGTCTGGATGAATGTTTCTTTAACTCCTTGATTGTCAGACTTCCATAGTTTGATTTTCTAGCAGTTCTGATTGTTTTTGTTTTTGTTTTTAAATTTGTTGTTGGCCTTTTGGTTGTGTGAGAAGGTACAATGTACCTATGCCTCCATCTTGGCTGGAAGTCTCAGTTTGCAAAACCTTTTAACTCTTACTGCTTCTTACTTTATACTGAGGCCTTGGCTTCTATCACTACCAAAGCCAGTGTGTTCCTCTTCCTCTTTCTTGGTTAGTGTACACACTGGATATAATTTTTGGATTTGGGAATGTCAAATGTCTGAGTCATTGTTTGAGAAAATGCAAATTCAGCTTCCAAAGTTGAATGAGGAGAAGTTCTTTATAGAAAAATTCTAGTTAATAAAGGGAGAAGGAATGATAGTATCAGAAATCAGTATTTTATTCCTTTATTGAACTAGTAATCATCAATTGACACTAAAATTGTGAAAAGTTGATGGGACACTTTAAAACAGTAACCAAGCTAACTACTAGTAACACATATGACATAACACAGGGGCTGTCAAACTTTTCTCTAAAGAACTGGGTAGTAACTATCATGGGCTTTTTGGGCCACACAGTCTGTGTGTGTAGTGGGAAAGCAGGTGTCGACAATATATAAATTGCATAGTATGACTGTGTTCCAGTGAAATTTTACTTACCAAAACCCAGAGTTGATTGGTTATGGTCTGTGAACTGTAGTAGATTGCTAATTATACTTTTCAGGAAATATGGGGGATACAGAAATAAGTTAAATGGTATGCAAAGTCCAAACTGTAGTACACTGTGTAGGATGACTGAATCTAGCTTCTCAAGTAAATTATGCATGAAAATGGGAGTGAAAGGGGTTCTAAGGGGAAAGAAAAAGAATCAAATGTTATATAGAGTTTGAATTTTTTGTTGGAGCAAACCAGTTGTATAGTATATCTTAGAGGCAATCAGAGAAATCAGAATATTGGATGATTTTTAAAAATTACTCTGAACTCTGTTACATGTAATACTGGCATGATAGTTATTTCTCAGCAGTGAAGTATTTTAGGTAAAATAACATGATGTCTGAGATTTACTTTAATATAAAATACTCCAGTAAACAAGTATATGTAGTGGGTGGGTGGAAAATAGTTGAACCAATTGGCAAAACGTTGATATTAGTTGAAATTGGGTGATAAATACATGGGAGTTTATTGTTTTTATTTTTATTAAAGTAATTGTTATGTTTTATATTGTGGCATGTTTCAAAACTTCTATGTTAACATAAAGTTGAATATACCCTGAAAAGTGTATGTGTGGATGGTATGAGGGTGGGAGGAGGTGGTTGTATAGAAAAGGAGAGATAAACCAAATGAAAAAATAATCTTTAGATTCTAATGTATAAAATAATGTGCAAAACTTCCATTCTCTGGAGCATTTTCTCAACTCTGAGGTATTGCTTCCCAGCAATTGTCAGTTCTACTCAAATGAACTCATAAAAATTCTCTACAGGTTTGAATGTTTCTTATGCTGACAACTCATAAGTGGCCAATTAGTGAAAAAAGGTGATTTAAGGGTGAACTTTTAAAACCATAATCCAGAAATATGATGTAGGTCAAACGGAGGCAGTCTGGCTTCCCCACCCAGGTGTCGGGGTAACTAAGGGAAGCAGTTTCCTGTAACCTTGAACAGGCCTGATAAGTAGTGTTCTCATCGCCTTGAGATTGGGTCTGATAAATGGTTCCCATAACATGAAGTTGGCTCAAATGCGCAAAATCATGCTATGTTATATAATATTTTGGCTTTCTGCTGGCTTTGTCTGTCTCTAGTACTTAAGAAGGCAGCTTGCAGCATGCATGGTTTGCTCACCTGTGAATAAAGCCATGGCAAGTGTCCCCGCCGCTCCACACATTTTCTTCCATTTCCCTGAATCTAGAGTGGACCTGCCAGGTCTTGACCAACTGCAACACATACATGATGATTCAGTACTGAATTGTAACACTTATCTGTTCCTGGTTTGGGTTTTTCTATTTGCCTCATTGAGTTAATGCTGTTGAAGACAAAACTTTTCAAATAACACAGTTTTTTACAATATGGTCATTAATAGTAGATTTGTTTTTTATTACATTAGTGATAGGGAATTCAAGAGTTGGAGAATTTTAGTTTAAGGTAAACAGTTATAAGCCTAGTAGGTAATTCATATGTTAAAGCTGTTGTTTCAGGAACTGAAGGTATGAGCCACCCTGACTCCAGGAGACCACAAGCAGTTCCACCTCTGTGCCTCAGGACTGCAAGCAATCAGGATGGTATCTGAGCCATTGTGCTCCAGGATGAGATGACCACCGCCCAGAACTCAGCTAAAGATCACCAGCCAGGGAGAGAATACTGCAGTTTTCTTAATCCAATTAACTTTCCCCTGAATTCCAAACCCCTTACCTACACTTTATTCTCCTTATAAGAAGGCCATCTTAAAATGGAATTTAAGACAGTCTGTTAGGGTACAAACCCACCGCCTTCTCAGATCATCAGGCATCTGAATAAAGTGCCCATAAAAGATTCAATCCCTATCTCTGCTTATTGGGTTCGGTGTGTGACAGGCAGCATGAACACCAGTCTTTTCCAGTTTTACTAGGAGAAATATAAATACTTAAAACAATGATTAATTTCAATCCATATTCTCAGTTTGATAGTTTTGGGTTGATTTTTTCTACTTTCTCACCTAGGGGTCATTGTGTTCCCTAAGGACCTGCTACCACTTTAGGGGAAAAAAGGTTGTTAATGGAAGAGGAAAGAAGTAAAAATGAATGTTATCTTTTTACTACAGACTCATTCACTCCTCTTCCTTTCAGTGATTCACATCTGCTTTTCCTGTTTTTACTTAAATAGTACTACTGCCGACAGGACTGGACAACCTGAAATACCTATTAACTTTATCATAATTTGAATTTACTGATCTGATAAATAGAACATGGAAGGCAGAGAACACTAAATACTGATTTTCTAACATGTCACTCAAAATGGGAGATTATATTGGCTAAATACTACCTATTATTATCATAGGGTTTGTATATTATGAACTGTCTGTTCTTAGTGACAACTTCAAGTCAGACATTCTACGAAAGAAAAAAAGTTTAAATTTTTTGAAAATAAAATCTGGGCCCTGGCTGATGTGGGCTCAGTGGATTGAGCAGCAGCCTGCAAACAGAAAGGTCACCAGTTCAATTCCCAGTCAGGACACATGCCTGGGTTGTGGACCAGGTCCCCATGGGGGGCATGCAAAGGGCACCCAATCTCTCACATATTAATGTTTCTCTTCCTCTCTTTCTCCCTCCTTTCCCCTTTCTCTATAAATAAATAAAATCTTTTTTTTAATTATTTTTAAAAATAAATAAAATCTGGCCCTGGCTGAGTGGCTCAGCTGGTTGGAGTGTTGTCCAGTGCACCAAAAGGCTGTGGGTTTGGTCCCCAGTCAGGGCACACACAAGAGGCAACTGATCAATGTTTCTCACATCGATGTTTCTCTTTCCACCTCTTTCTCACTCTTTCTCTCCCTTCCCTCTTCCTCCCTCTCTGAAATAAAAAAGTATACCCTTGGTTGAGGATTCACAGGTCTATCTGAAAGGCAGCAAAAGATATATTCTTTTATAAGATTTTGTTTATTTATTTTTAGAGGGGGGAAAAAGAAACAGAGGGAGAGAAATGATGACATAAGAGAATTATCAATTGGTTGCCACTCGCACATGCCCTGACCGGGGACCAAACCTACAACCCAGGCAAGTGTCCTGACAGGGAATCGAATCGGCAACACTTTGCTTTGCAGAGCAACACCCAACGAACCAAGCCATAGCAGTCAGGCTGCAAAACTTATATTCTTTTGACACAAAGGTGGGTTAACTCATTTCTCAATACCTGAACTTTTTTTAAGAGCTCCTACTATATGGATACAAAAAAGCAAAACTAGATATTCTTCCTTTATATCTAATTAGAATAAATCACATTCAAACATTAGGCTTATTTAAGTGATAAACAACACAGCTTCCTCAAATAGATTATGCTGATTTCCCCTTCATTTCACAACATAAATTCTATTAGCAATAATCATACATTTACATATTCTGGACACTAGACTCTTACATGATATATGATTTGTAAATATCTTCTCCCATTCTGTGCATTGTATTTTCTTTTTTTTTGATAATCATAAATTCAGTTTTTAATAAAATATTGCTTTTATATAAATTTATAGGTATAGTCAACTTAAATTTATTTGGTTTTTAAAAACTTCTCTTTACATTTAGATACAAGTGTTTCTTATAAAACTTATTTTATTGTATAGACATTCATGCAGAATGTGGCCTGCACAAAGAAGACGACGCCTGAGTTCAATGTGGCAGGCACCTCTGGTTCTGCACCTGCATTCAGGGCAGCTGACGGTCGTGGCCACCACCATCAAGCTGCTTTCTTCTCACTTCATCCAGGAAGTCATAGGTCTGCTCTGAAATGTCAAAAGGTTCATGGACTCCCTCTGGTGACAGCAGAGCTTGGAGGGAGCCCTGGTTTTCTTGGTTTTGCTTCAGGAAATCAGTGATGACTTTCCACCTCGCAGCCTCGGTCTCTTCTTCTGCCCACCTGAATGGGGGCAGGAGTGTCGAGTGGAGAAGGGGGACTGCGCAGTCATGGTAGACCAGGAGAAATACAGCCTTCAGGAATTCTCTGTCTCTCTGGGAAAACACAACAAGTCACTGTGAATGGATCTGCGTCATTATTTGGTAAGGGTTAAATCGATGAACTGTTAACTAAAAGCCATTAGGGGTGGGGTGGAGGTGACACAGTGCCTGGCAGGTCATGGGCTCCACACCAAGGACTCAGTCAGGAAGCAGCCCCCCTCAGTGGAAACAAGACCCCAAGTCATAGTGGAGCAGAGAGCAGCAGTTCTCCCTTGGTCTACAGGGGACTCCTCAAGGCCCAGGCTCTCCTGAGCCCCCACTAAGGGTGTCTCACCACTTCCATCAAAGAGAGTGGGGTGCTGAAGTCTAATCCTGATGACAGGGGTATGCATCCAAGTAAATGCAACAATGTGAAGTCAGCTGTAACTGCTCAATTTGATTACAGCACATCAGAGAATTGTCACATTTTTATAAGGGAAAGGCAGCAAGTGTTCTGCATGCAATTCAGAGAAAGCAGACCCCAGAAGTAAGATTTGCTGTCAGACTCTTCCCAAATAACAAGAGTCTGCAGTGTAGACACTGTTGCTCAGCCCCTGGTACTGAAAGGCTGAGAGGGAATCACAGAGCATGCAGCCCGAAGGTGGAGGCATCAAAACACAGCGGAGTCTGAGCACAGATGCCGCCCCTTCCGGCACACCTGTGTACAGGGCAATTTCCACAGGCTCAGGCCCCTCAACTTATTCACAGCTGTTCCAGGATAGCCTTAACTCTGCCAATTCCAGCAAAGGTCAATGTAGAAGTGCTGGTCAGAGGGAAGCTCAAATAATACAATATATATATATATACACGTCCTCCCCAATTCCCATTTTCAGGATTTTTAGTGTGCAGACAAGTAACACTTTAGAAGTCCAAAAACCATGGGCCATGGGTCCAATGTGGCCCACTGCCTCTTCTGTGTCAAGTTTTATTGACACAGTCATGCTCAGACATTAACATACTGCCTATGGCTGCTTCTGGGTTACCATGGCAATATTGAGTCACTGTGACAGAGACTACAGGGCTTGCAAAGCCAAAAATAGTTACTACGTGGCCCTTCACAGATAATGTTTGTTGAATCCTAGACTGGAGCAGACAAGCCGCTGCTCACTGGTAGTGCGGGTGCTGTTGGTTTTCAATGACCATGCTTCTGTGGAATGTGAACATGAGCCATGCATTCTTCCAATGTATGACACAGATGAGGCCAGTTTTCTTTTTTTAATTTAATCTTTATTGTATTTTTTTTCTCATTCTCATTTAGTCTCTTTATACCCTCCTCTCCTCAGAGGCCAACTTTCTTTTTCCTTCTCCTTGCCTGATAAAGACTTTAAGAGCTAGAAGAAAAAAAAATTTTTTAATAAGAGAAATTTGATATTCAACCAGGAGACTTTGGTTTAGAAATTTCCCCTCAGCTAAATGAGATTCAGTGATCTGAAAGGTCACCTGACTGAGTGCCTTTTCGTCGCCCAGACCATTCCTGGAATGTGTCTTTGCAAGCATAATGACCCAGTTTAATGGACTAAGGATTATGACTATAGCTACTTTCACTAAAATTTTTTTAAGAAAGCATTATTTAGCACACACCAACACTGCAAATGATGTTCACATGGAAAAGTACATTACCTTCTCTGATCTTTTTAATGTACTTTCTTTCTCAGCCCATGAACTCTAAAAAAGAAATAGAAATGTTATATTAACCTGAGGATTCACAAGTCTTTGCCACATGCCTGCAACTTTACTCTAAATGATCCTATGGATGGGGCTTAAAATGTTGTGGGGAACTGACACACATCAGAACTGAATCTGTGGGCACCTAATGCTAACAACCAGAAACCAGACTGGCCAGACAGGGAGAGATGCCTCAGAAACCCATGCTTCTTACAAGTTAAAACTAATTTAAGGGCAGAGTCAATGAAACAATAACACACATTCAAACTGCACAAATACAGTAGCTGAACAACCAAACACTAACAAGCTTTTAAAGTGAGAGTAAAGATGAGTTAACAGTAGGAAGCTCACACATGGCACGGTGTGAACTTTGTGAGGAATCTGGCTTAACACAAATAGCACTCAGCATCTTTAGACCTATTACCCACTGGTGACATTTGCCCATTGTTCTTTAGTTAAGAGTCAAGGCCCCAGCTCACTTTTCACTGAGTTACCAGCAAGCAGCCGGTGTATCACCTGCTATAACTCAGCAGGAACAGAGCATGGGGGAGGGCAGGATAGCTCCCCTCTCCTCTGGAGCAAACAGGAGACCACCTCCCAGCTCCCTTCCAGTTCAGTGGGGCCATGTGATTGGTTCTGGTCAATAAAATGCCAGCAGAGCTGCTCATGCCACCGTGGGGCACAGGCAGAGGGAAGCCCATGGACAAGTCCCCATTCTCCCTTCCTGAGGGGCAGCTGGGAACACAGGGAGCCACTCGTGCAGATGATGCTATTGGCCTGCACCCATGGGTGACTGTGTAGTGGGACCTTCCACAGATCCAGGCTGGAAGGCACCATGAGTGGGAGCAGAACCTGAGCTAGTGACCACACACAGCCTGGCTTCTACCAAGTCATACAGGGTGCCACCAAGAGAAGGCACAAGACCGACTGTGGGAACAGACTGCTCTTTTGTTTTATCCTTTATTATACAACTAATTTGCAGTGGAAAAATTAAGAACATACACAGGTAGTCACTGTTGCCTTTCTAGAGTCTATTCTCCCGATCTGTTCACGGGCAACTATATAAATATAAATGTATATACTTAAATAGACTTATACAACAAATGGACTTTATTGTTTTCCACATAATAGTATGTGTGAACAGCTTCACACTCCTTGAAAAGCCTGTGGCATTTCTGGACTCACCCAGAGCTGTGTGGCATGGCCAGCCAGGTTATGGCCCTTTTCTGAGCCGTCTGCTCATCAGGAAGTGCAGCAGCTGGACTAGACCAGCCCTTCCATTCCTGCTAACACCAACGCCCAGACTCTGACTGTTACACACCTAGCACATGAAATCAGTTTCAAAGTCTCATAAAAATCTCCATTTCTCTGTCAGGCTCATATGACCACCTTCCTTTCCAATAGGAGTTGCCTCCCAACATAGCTCACCTCCCTCCTGCAAGCATGCTCCTCAACCTCTCTGTGCTGTCAGGAGTTTTCCTGACAAAACCTTCACGGGTCACACCCCTAACCACCCTCCCCACCTGGACACGAGACTCACACAGGCCGTGCCCATCTACCAGCAACACTCAACCTGCCCCACGGGGTCACTGCTCTGCTCAAGAACACTCTGTAGTTCTTCCCGTCCGGAAGTGTTCGTTCATGCTGAGCCCTCTACCTGTAGGGTCTGTCTGTCAAAATCCGACGTGGCCCCATCCAGGTATCAGCCAGGACCTCTTTAATGGAATAATTCCTGGTCCTCATTTGCTGCCTTCTTCATGTCTCCAAGGACCTGGGTCATACTTCCCCTGAGCCTCCTACCATGGTATCTGAGCATCTGCCTGGTAGGCATAGAGGTTTTCTAATAGTTGTTTACTTTGATAAAGCAAGTTGAACTTTTTATAAAACTCACATTTTGAAAATGAAAAAATGGCTGAAAATTGGAGAGATTTCATCTGGTTCAACCAGCTGCTATTTATGCAGCAGACAGTATATACCAAATTAAACAAAAATGATAGGCATGCCCTGACTCTCCTCTGAGAGCTCAACTCATTTATCTAACAAACCATTTTGGATTGTTGCTCTTGGGCCACAACTGGTGGCTGTGGTAAGTCAAGGAACAGACAAGAGATAAGAGGTTGCCACTGTGTATGCAGCATGCACTCCACCTGCTTACTGGGTCCTGGGCAGCCTGGGGAAGTAACACTCACAGGAAGAAAGGAAGGATGAGCCCACGTGAGTTAGAAAATGGACAAGATCAGGAGATGTCATCCAAATAGGGGGAAAACCCTAGAGGAGGTGTCAGAACATGCCAGTGCAGTGTGCCCAACTGCTTCCCGAGCACACCAGGCCACCCACCCGGAGTGCATCCATCACGTCAGGCTGCTCCAGGAGCTTGGGGAAGGTAGCCAGTATGGGATTACTGATTAAATCTGAAATACAAAGACCAAAAAGGATTTTATACAAATTTATCCAATGTTTTACTGCAATAGAAAAGCATTCATTCTTATTAGATTCAGTGTTGCAATATTTGCTGACAACACATTTCTAACACTTTAACCTCTAGGAACTCAAAGCTGTCCCTTCTACCTCCACACTCCCCTACACCCATACCCCGGAGGGTTCTGGAATGAGTCTTGTACCAAGTAGGCAGAGCTTTTAGGGTAGAAGTAAAGTGGCCCTGAGCAGAATAAGACTAGAAAGTTGTGTTCTTCAGTGTTTTCCCAGCCTCACTTTCCTCCTATGACGGCGGTGTGGTAGGAGGAGTCAGGAAGTACCAGCAGAAAGGAGGCTGCCGGTGCCTGAGTCCAGTCCACCAGCACTTGGGAAAGAACCCTGGTGTCTGGGGGTCACGCGATGGTGGAAAGTGCAACTGGAAGGCATCGCGAGTTGGGGATTTGGCCACATGCCTAAATACTGTGTAGGAGAAGAGTGATATTCCACAATAAGTAATGGCATCTGAAAGACCTGTGTATGGAACTCCATAAGGAAGAACACTTTGGAGATGATCCTGTGTCTTTAGCAGAAAAAAAAATCCATTCTCCAGATTTCTCTAGGTTTATTCTGATGGTCAGATTCAAATGAAGTCAATAATCTGAGTAACCTTCTCCTCACCTACAGGACAACAAATAAGCTTTATCCTCTTTAAGAAGTCATGACATCCATGAATTGTTTCGAGAGTCATTGAATTAAATTTAAAGGCCAGTGATGATTAAAAGACTTGCCTTAACTGTTCTCTCTTAGAGTGGTAATTGCTCCTTGAGAAACGTCTGTGCTCCTCTGACTGAGAGTTCCATTTCCATTTACCCACCTAGGTGCCAGGTCGCTGGTGGAGGACCCCTGTCTAACCATGAACTCTACTCGTCCAGATCCCAAGGCACCACAGGGCTCTCCCTCTCACTCCCTCTCTCTAGCCCCACTGGCCTGCTTTCAATTCCAGTCCCTCCCACATACCCATGTTTTCTTGCCTTGAGTCTTCAAACATACTATGGTCTCTCTGTCTAGAAAGCATCATCCCCCCACCACATTCTTCATAACTGGAACTCCTCTCTCAGGGCTTATCGTAACATTACTTGCCCAGAGAAGGCTTCCCTCATCCTACACATTAATTCAGCATTCCTACTGTGTGCTCTCATTGTGCATTTTCCTTCAGAACACTTACTCTAAAACATAAAAAGGATTACTCATGTAATTTTGTGTTTAAGGTACGTCGCTGGACTAGGGTGGGAATGGCCGTGCCTGTCTCACAAGGCCTGGCATGCAGGAGGCGCTCCACACACACCTGCTTACAGATCTGCTGAATTCAAAGACTGCCCAGTAAAGTTAAACTTTCTTTGAGGAAATCCTTGTAACATGTGCATTCCTTTTTGCAAGTTCAATCATGTGTGACAACTCATGTTTAAACTTATTTTTTAACATTTTACTGAGAAAAAAATTCAAGTTTAAATAAAATTGCAAAAATAAAAATAGTCACAGAACTCCTGAATACCTCTCACCTAGATTTGCCACTTTTAACTAATCTATTGATATTTAAAGTTTGTGCATCAAGAACCAGTTATTTGGGGTAATTTCAGTCTCTGCCCAGAAAGATGAAGTGAATACCAAACATGGTAGACACAGATTATTCAGAGAGAGTAAGGAAAAATATAATTACATTTGAGTTTTAGGATCTCAAATCTCCAGAATTGGAAATAAGAAAATATGTATATGGTAAAGAATTAAATATGTACTGAGCTCACACAGGATATACACTAAGTACAATGCTTTGCATCTGTAGTAATTTATTGACTTTGATGCTATTTTAAAATTTTTATTTCAAATGTCATTTCTGGAAGAAGATTTAGGTTATGTTTACTCAAAGCATGATGCATTATTGTGCAAAAGAAAATTGCAAAGACCCCTTACCAGCACTTTGCATGCTCATCCTGTCTTTCAGGAGTACATCTCCAAGAACTTGGCGATAAAATATCAACAAATGAATGTAGCACATACTTCCAATTAATGTTTCCGGCAGTAGGCTATTAAAGAAGAAAAAAATGTATTAACTAAACAATCTCGTACACTCCAACCTACAATATTTATTTATTTATTTATTACTTTTTGTTTCATTATTGGAAGAAAATGTGACAATTATAAGGAAAATTCCCACTCCAAGCTAGCCACATTAAACTTTAGATAATCTACTTTTTATGTGTACATTTTCAAGTCTCCACTCTGTTTTGTCATTCCTATGCTTTCATTTAGCTATCACCCATGTTAAATGTCAAATTTAAAAAGCCATAAATTATTTGTTTTGGAAATAAAGAGACCAGTCTGATACAAGTTTTAACAAAGCCATGTGGCCACCCCAGCTGATGAGATGATGCAGAGGAAATGTGAGTTCAGACTGTTCACAGTGCTGGGTGGAACGTGGGAGGGTGTGGCAGACCTGGACTGAACTCTGACTTTGCTGCTTCCTAGCTATGGAACTTTGGGTCAATTGATTATTCCCCTTGTGTTTTGGTTTCCTCATCTGTGGAATGCAGATAGTAGTACCTGCATTTCAGAGGGCTAATAAAAGGATTAAAATGAGGTGAATGTGGGGTTTTTAATGCAATGCCTGGTACCCATTAAGGACTCAAAAACGGAAAATAAACTTAAACACTAAAGTTATTATCAGTTTAAAATAGATTATTTTCTCTATGATGTTATATGCAATCCCCACAGTAACCACAAAAAAAATCTATAGAATGTACACAATAGGAAATGAAAAGGAAATTAATATGTCACTACAAAAAATCAATTGAACACAAAGGAAGGCAGTAGGGAGGAAATGAGGAACAAAAGATATCTATGAGACATACAGACAATCACTAAAAAAATGACAATAGTAAGTCCTTCATTATCAACAATTGCTTTAAATGTAAATGGATTAAACTCCCCAATCAAAAGTCAGAGATTGGAAGAATGGATTACAGGATCCAACTGAGTACTACCTACCAGAGACTCTAGATCTAAGGACACTTACAGGTTGAAAATGAAAGGATGGACAAAGATATTCTGTGCAAACAGTAAACAAGTGAGCAGAGATAGCTAAAAACAGTATCAGACAAAATAGTCCTTAAGTCAAAAAACTGTTACAAAAGACAAAGAAGAATATTATGTAATGAAAAAAGGGTCAATTCACCAAGAAGATATATACAAGGTGTGTATGTGTGTGTGTGTGTGTGTGTGTGTACCAAATATTAGAACTCCTAAATATATAAAGCAAGTAAAAGAGAGGAATAGATCTATAATAATAGTAAGAGACTTCAATAACATACTTTCAATAAAGAACAGAAGAACCAGGCAGAAGATTAATAAGAATATAGTGGACTTGAATAACACTGTAGATCAATTGTAGCTAACCAACACACACAGAACACTCTGCCCAATAACAGCAGAATATGCATTCTTCTCAAATGTACATGGAACATTCTATGGGATAGACCACATGTAAATCTTAATGATTTAAAAACTGAAATCATAGGTCTGGCCAGTGTGGCTCAGTTGGAATGTCATCCTGTAAACTGAAAGGTCATGGGTTTGATTCCTGGTCAGGGCCCATGCCTAGGTTGTGGGTTTGGTCCCCAGCTGGGGTGCGTACAAGAGGTAACCAATCGATGTCTCTCTCTCACATCCATGTTTCTCTCCCTTTCTCTCTCCTTCCCTTCCCCTCTCTCTAAAATCAATAAACATGCCCTCAGATGAATATTAAAAAAATTAAAACTGAAATCATACAAAGTATCTTTTCTGATCACAATAGAATGGAAGTAAAAATCAAGAGCAGAAGGAAAACTGGAAAATTCACACATGTGGAGATTAAACAACACACTCAAATAATCATGGATCAAAAAAGAAATCACAAGGAAAATTAGAAAGTACAGATCAATTAAAAAGAAAATATAACATACCAAAATTTATGGGGCAAAGGGAAAGCAGTGTTAAGAGTGAAATGTATAGCTACATTAAAAAATAAGATCTCAAATCAACAACCTAACTTTACAATTTAAGGAACTAGTAAAAAGAACAAACTTAAGCCCCAGTAAGTAGAAGGGAGAAAATAATAAAAATTAGAGAACAGATAAATGACATATAGACTAGAGAAACAATAGAGAAAATCAATGAAGCCCAATATTGGTTCTTTGAAAAGATCACCAAATTTACAAACTTTTTTTCTTTTAAAATTTTATTTATTCTTAGAGAGGGAAAGGGAGGGAGAAGGAGAGAGAGAGAAATATTGATCAGTTGCTTCTTGCATGCAACCCAACTGGAAACCAGGCCCACAACCCAGGCATATGCCTTGACTGGGAATCGAACTGGCAACCTTTCACTTTGTGGTGCCACACCCAACCAACTGAGCCACACTGGTCAGGGAAAATTCACAAACCTTTAGTTAGATGGGTTAAGAAAAAGAGAGAAATCAAATTATTAAAATCAGAACTGAAAATGAGGATATTACTTCTGATTCTACAGAAATCAAAAGGAGTATAAAAGTACTATAAAAATTGTGAGTAAAAAAAATTGGATAATCTAGATGAAATGGACTAATTCCTAGGAACACAAAACCTATTAAGACTACTGTATTTTGCCATGTGTAATGTGACCTGTTTGCCCAATTTTTGAGGGAAAAATACAGATGCACATTAAATATGGGTGATACTAATTCCATATCTATATAAATGGTTTTAATTCTTTTATTTATGTTTATGTGTTAAAAGTGTAACTCTAGAAATGGTATCTGTATGCAAAATAATACCCTGGAATACAATAATCAGTTTTGTTGAAATTATGACAAACTTGCAGTGAAAGCCATCTCAGCCAATGATTCAATGAAATGAAATGAAGAGCAGAAGAGCAACGTATGTTATCCACAGAGTAATATAGATGATGGCGATTGTCATCCACTTGATAAGTGACACTGACTGTATTAGCATAGGGTGAACAGCACAACATTTCTCTTCATACACTTTAGACAGGTGAAATTATTGGAAAATCCCTGGGAAAGTGTCAAAATGGTTTTTGTACACTGCAAGATTTAAGCTAAAAGTTATTAAATATGTTAAAAAGCATGGCAGCAGGGCTGCCAAGAGGCACTTCAGACCTCCTCTCACAGGGAGCGTCATCAGACTGTGAGGCAACAGGAAGAAAAGCTTCTTCAGATCACAGGACAGAAGAAGGCAACGAGAGGGAAGCCTCTGAAGTGGCTGGAGGTGGGGCAGAAGGCAAAGACCAGGATTCAGAAGCAGCATCAAACTGGGATCTCTGTTTTGACCAAGAAGATAGAAAAAGAAGGTAAAAGGACTGCACAAGAAAAAAACATTGGTGATCTCTCAGGAACACCTAAATGGTGCTTTAATTTTATGAAGACAGAAGGTTTGAGCACGAGGACATGAACAAAACTTGTCCAAAAACTTCAGTAGCCAATGATAATCAAGTTTTGGAATTTCATTTTTATATTATTATTCTTTGAAAGACTTACAACTTTGAGCTGTCTCAAACTGCCAACATGGATGAGGTCCCACACACATTTGATATGCCAACCAACAGAACTGTGGACATCAAAGGAGCAAAGACTGTGCTGTCAAAACTAATGGTCATGAGAAAACAAATTTCACTGTTGTTCTAGCCTGTTATGCAGATGGGACAAAGCTGCCACCTATGATCATCTTTCAAAGAAAAAGTTTTCTGAAAGAAAAGATTCTAAGTGGAGTTATTATCCATGCGCATGAAAAAGGATGGATGAATACAGAAGGTGTGAAAATCTGGTTTAACCAAGTCTAGTCACAAAGGTCTGGGGGATTACTTTAAAAAACAGTTTTGCTTGTTATTCCTCAGTTCAAAGCCCATGCATGTTACACAAAGTGTGAAAGCAATCGCAGCAAGCTTGGAAACCCAACTTGCTGTGATACCTGGTAGACTAACCAGCCAACTGCAACCTCTTGATGTGTCAGTAAACAAGCCCATTAAGGCCCTAATGAAGAAAGAGTGGATGTCATGGATACAGTCAGCTGGTAAAGATTTAACACCTACAGGCAGGGTCAAGGAAACATCCATTGCCCAGGTTTGTGACTGGATCCTAAGATCATAGAATGGTGACAAGAAGGAAGTGGTTGTAAAGTCGATTAAAAAATGTGGCATCAGCAATGCTATGGATGGAACTGAGGCGGTAAAATTTACCAGGATGAGGAAAGTGACTTTTCAGAAGACATAAGTAAAGTAGAAATTGAAGAAGACGATACTTCTGATATTGACAGTGACAAGGAGTTCTTGGCCTTCTATGATGTATAAATATCATAAATTTGTTATTGGTACATAAAATTTCTTATACCTTGTATCTCTTGTGTTTTGTAAGTATTTGTAACATAATAAATAATTTGTAATAAAATTCCTTGTACAATATGTGCAAAAATAAATGCTAAAATTCCTTTATAATACAAAAACCAAGTATCTAAATACTAATTAATTAATTAATTTAAAAATTAAAACAAAAAATTGTTTTCCTGAAAGTTTGGGCCAAAAACATGGGTGTGCATTATACATGGCAAAATATGGTAAATCACAAATTAAGATAAAATCTGAGTAGACCTATTACTGGTAAGGAAATTGAATCAGTAATCAAAAATCTATCAACAAAGAAAAGTTCTGGACCTGATAACTTCACTGCTGAATTCTGCTAAATATTTAAAGAAGAGCCAATCCTTCTCAACCCTTTTCAAAAACTGGAAGAAGAGGGAATAGCTCCTAAATAATTCTATGCGGCCAGCATTACCCTGATGCCAAAACCAGACAAAGACCCTACAAGAAAAGAAAATTACAGACCAATATCCCTTATAAACATCGATGCAAAAATCTTTAACAAAACACTAGCAAACAGAGTCCAGCAGCATAATAAAAGGATTATATGCCATGACCAAGTAGGATTTATTCCTAGAATGCAAGGATGGCTCGATGTAACAAAATCAATCGATGTAATACACTATATTTAAACAGAATGAAG